GTTATAAAAAAAAAAAAAAAAAAAAAAAATCGTTATCAAACGAAAGCCTACCTGCCCATCCGACATAGGAATGGCAAGTCTAACATAGTTCCACTATGGCATGAATCTACGATAGCATGGAGCTTAGCACCGTAAGGGAGAGGCCTAACTATGGTTGCATTGATCTCGTCATCGACGATCATTCCCGCGGTCTCAAAATCCAACGGGCAGAGCGTTTCGTCGAAGCCATCGATCTCGTCACCGGTGAGGTTCTTCTGCTGCAAACCATGGCCAGAGAAATGGAACACCAAAGAGTCCCCTGCTTGAACGCCTTGCACAAGCCAATGCAGTGCCATTCTGATGTTTTGCTTTGTTGGACGCTTATAAATGTCAGTTTCTTCATCTGCAATATGATCAATTCAATTCTCAAAAGTTGTCAATGAATGTTTTACCAGTTACCAGTTCGATTATTTGGAATTGAGTCGACTTTAGGTTCGTAAGCACGACCTTAACTATTTACCAACTTCAACTTCGAATTTGTGTCCAATCATTATTGACTAATCTTATCGAGTTACTACGATAAAATTTAATTATATCAACATTTCAACCCTCCAAGTTACGAATTTGTGAAATACTAAACAAGTAGAAAACATCACCCATCCAAGAAAAAATAAAATTACAATAGAGAGAAGCGAAATTAATCAAATAATTAACAAGCTACTTAGCTTAATCAAACAATAATTTATTAAAATGTAATAATTCATTCTCTAATTTCATCAAGTTCTTTCTCAGATCTTCATAAAAAAGAAAATCGATGGAAATGAGGAGGAGAAATTACCAGTGAGCATGAGAATGGAGGAATCGGGGAATTTAAAGCGGTTGATCAGCAAATACTTCATACATTTAGCATCATTAATACAGCCCTGAAGTTCGTGTGGGGTATTTTTGTATGAAATCCCGCAAATCACCGCCCGTTTGGGGCTGCGGCCGGCAGGGTACATCGGCGGCTCCGGAGAGGGGTAGTGATGGCCAGGATAGTAACTCTGCGTCGGTGACGGAAAGGGGTTACTGTAGCCGGGAGAGTAAAGCTGCTGCGGCGGCGGCGGCGGAGGAAAACCTCGGGGGTCGGCTACGACAGTGACTGCGCGGCAGATGGCACATCGGACAGAGGTAGCGCCTGGAGGGAGCTGCAGCGGTGTCCGGCAGTGGGAACAGTTGATCAGGATCATCGTGGCCGTTGAAAGGGGCTTCAGGCTGAAAATGGCCGGAAGTGAGAGGGAAAAAATGGCGGATTGATCCGGACGAGACAAGTGGAGTTGAAGAGGAGGAGGAGGAGGAAAAGGGGAAGCGAGAGAGTTGACTTTGACTTGATATGAGTTTAGAAGCGCGGAGGCTCCTTCCTCTCGATATTCATCTTCGGCTCAAAATAGAAAACAGTCGTCTAAATTAATTTAAAGGCTTTCGTTCTTTTATTGATATTCTATAAATTCTCAACCACTTCCTTAAATTATTAATTTTTTTATTATGTATTAAATCATTATATATTTTAACACCAAATATTATGTATTAAATAACATATTTAAAGTTATTTTAAAGTCCAACTAATTATGAATTAAAAAATATTTATTTATTTATTAAAAAAAACATAATTTGTGGTAAAACTTCTAAATTAGACCGTAAAAAATGAAAAATTGAATGTAATAGAAAGAGTAATTATTTTTCTATTTATCTTATAAGGTTAAGTATTAAAATTTCAACCTTTCCACTCAAAAGGGAAAAAGACAAAAACAAAAAGCGCGGTAAAACTTGGTCAGCCGGGGAAGTCAAAGTCCAACCACTCTTTTGTGGGTCCTACAAAGGCATGAACTTGCTTTTCTTATTATAATATTACATTCTTGGTGGCGTCCTTTTTGCAAATGTTTATCGCGTGACCAATTCTTAAAAACGAGTCGTTTCATTTGGTAAATTTCTTGTTCCTTTCCTTTTCACAATGTTTGAAATATAGGTTTATTGATTTTCTTTCGTAAATGTTATCTCATAAAAAATTATTTGTGAATAATTAAATAGAAAATATATAGAGATAAGTATGTTAAAAATCACGACTCTCCCCCATGAAATGATATTGTATACTTTGAATATAAACTCTCGTGGTTTTAGTTTAGATTTCTCCAAAATGACTAATATCAATAGAGATATATTCTTTTATTTATAACTTCATTATCAATTTCTAAATTAACGAAGGTAAGACTCACTCTCAACCATTCTCAACAACAAAATAGAATGTATACAAATAAAATGTTGGTTAAATAACTAAATACTCAAACCTTTTATACCATTTCAAACTGAAATATTATTTATGTCGTTTAATAAACGTTTTAAAGTTATTGTTAAAGTAAAATTTGTTTTGAATTTATATGAAATTTGAAATTCATAACGTTACGACAATGATTTAAAGCGATGTGAAAATCTACTTTTTCATTAGATTAATCACCATACTATTATATGACGGAATATTATTTATTTATTTATTTTTAAAACAATTGTAATAAAAAATTAAAGATAATATTTCAAATTCTAAAATAATATAAATATTTTAAAAGCAAATCACCAAGTTTACGAGTATTTCTGTATAATTTAATAAAAAAAATAAACTCGAGAATAAATTCATATACAAAAATATTATATAATATATATATATATTAGTTAATTTAACCTTTTAATCGTCACTGATAAAATCTCACAATTAAAAAAATAAAATTATTCAGATTTAAAATTTAAATTTCATATGATTAAATTAATAAAAACTAAACCTAGAGATTCAAGTTGGGCTTTTAATTATACCGATCTAGTACTATATTAAACTATATGAATTATGGTTATGATTTAATTATTGCGAGATAAAAGAAAATATATATTTTTTTAATTCAAGAAAATATATATTTTTTTAATTCAAGAAAATATATATTTTTTTAATTCAAGAAAATATCATTTTGGTACATTGTAAATGGTAATTTAAATCAAGATAAAAATGTTTGTGATGGAATGTAAATTAAAAAAAAAAACGGTATATATTCATAATTTAATTGATATTAGAGATCGGTTACGAGGGAATATATATTTTTAAAGTTTTAAAAAATATTTTTTTAGTTTTGCTAATAAACAACTTTTTTTTAATAACTAATAAGCACTTTATTGAGTTAAAAAAGAGTAACATAATATACATTTAAATGAGAAAAGGAAGGAATTACAGATATGATAATATTTATAATTAAAAAAAAAAAAAAAAAAAAAAAAAAAAAACAGCAAGAATATGAAAACAAGAGTCGCGGACAGGATCCGAAACCTAATCTTCAGCAATTGGGAACCAGTAGAGAAAATACACATACCAACCAGCGATCGAGGGGCCACCGGAGACGGAGACGGAGATGGATCGCAATTTCAACTACGACGAGCATGACCACGAAGTTTATGGAGGCGATATCCCTGACGACGCCGAGATGGATGCCGACCTCGACATGTCCTCTGGTAGGGCCGACGAAGAAGATTACGACGCTGAACCCAGTAGTGCCAACTCGAAGGTAGCTTCTCGACTTCTTCTCTCCTTCTTCCCCGTGTCTTTCATGGAGCCTCGTCTCTGATTCTCTGTGTTTTGGAATTGATTAGGACTTGGAGGACATGAAGAGGAGGCTTAAGGAGATCGAAGAGGAGGCCGGTGCCCTTCGGGAAATGCAGGCCAAGGTCGAGAAGGAGATGGGTGCTGTTCAAGGTATCTTCCTCTTTCATCTCTGTAATTCCGGATGCTGGTTATTGGATCCTATTCTCGGCGTGGTGGGAGGATTTACGTTGCTTGCATAAGCCTTGTAGTTCATTTGTAGGATAGAATACATTGTTTGGCTCTATCTCTTTCGTGGACTTCGATTCAGTTGCTGTTCTTTACAGGAACATTCCAAAATCATATATTTTCATATCAACGGGATCGAATATTGCTGCCTGAATCGATAATCAGGTTGTTTGAAGTTCTAAGACCTAGAAATTGGCGTGGTCTTCAATGATAGGATTTTGGGGGAAAATAGGAGAGTTTTGTGATTGAATGGAAGAGTTCTTCAAATCTGGTTCCTCATCAAACCATAACAAAACAAAGAATAGATAGTTAGATATTGAAAATTCTGAAGCTTTGTGAATTGTTATTTGTAACCGACGATTTTAGATTTTTTTCGTAATCAATCACAGAGTTTTAATCCTTTCTAGATTTCAATGATATTTGACAAATTTCTTCTAATGTTCTCTCTTGTTTTGTTTCCTACTCATGCTATTTGAATCTGGAAATGTTGTCACGTTTGATAGTTACTAAAGGCGAAACGATTATGTCGATTTAATATTGTCATATTCGTAATATTTTTCACGTATCAACACAACATATTGATTGTTTTAAGTTATTATAGGTCTTTGTAACTAACATGTGTTCCTTTTAACATGTAAGAAGATTCATCCAGTACCTCTGCAACGCAGGCTGAAAAGGAGGAAGCGGATTCCCGATCTGTATATGTTGGTAATGTGAGATTCTCGATCTGTATATCACAACTTCTCTCATCCCCCAACCTCTTTAGCACTGGTCTCATTTTCTTTCTCTTTTGTCATCTGACAACCATCGGTTGATCTTTACGATTTATACTCGAACTATCTATAGTTATGGAACAGAAAGTCGAAAAGCTTGTCTAATTGTTAACCTTTTCAAGTTCTTTATTAAAACAATGACAAAGTTTCATCAAGGAGTCATACTCGATTAGAAATATAGATATATTCTTTTTGTTGGTATAAAAGGACTTTGAGAATAAATGGCTTTAGCCTTCCTCCTCCGCTTTCATACGGAGCAAACAACAGTTAGGTCAATCCTTTTAGGACGCCTCTTTTGTAATTTTTCCATTTTGTTGACGCTCTTCCGGTAAAGGGTCCTAAGAATTTCCATTGTTCCTTTCTTGATTGCATTGTATTTATCTAGCAAAGAAGTGAATTCTAACTTGTCCGGGTTTCTTCTTGTTGCTACCCCTTCATGAATTGATGTTATGCTGCTATCATGTCGAGCTTCTTGCACTCGTTAATTGTTTCCCTTGTATTATCTCTTATAATCTCAAAAACCTCAAATAAAAATGTTGATTTGCCACTCATGTATCATGCCAAAAGGAGCTTTGGGTTTCAATTTGTAAAGATATTTGCCACTCATGTATCATGCCACATTCTCCTAATCTGAATCCTTTTTCCCCTTGGGCATGCTTTCTAACATCATATTTCAATAGAAAATAATTATTTCTGTCTTGGCTTTTACTTCAGGTTGACTATGCATGCACTCCTGAAGAGGTCCAACAGCATTTTCAATCATGTGGAACAGTCAATAGAGTGACAATTTTGACTGACAAATTTGGCCATCCCAAGGGATTTGCTTATGTCGAGTTCGTGGAGGTTGATGCTATCCAGAATGCTTTGCTGTTGAACGAGTCGGAGTTGCATGGTCGTCAACTAAAGGTCCCTTGAACTCGGATTCATGCTATAATTTTCTTTTTAATTTATTTCACTAATAGGCCACCGATAATGTATGTATATCGGAGGAAGACATTGGGGTATGAGAGAAGTCGCTAGTGAAGAGTGTATATAGAGGGGGAAAGTATCTTAGCAGGGTATACTTTTGTTAAGTAGACTTTGCTACGGTTGGGCAAGTAGGAGCTTTTTGCACGTACCCGTTCTTGTATGCCAATTGTCGATACATAATATTGAGTTGTATCCTTGACCATGGTCAGTTTTTGGTACATTTTGCAGGTCTCTGCTAAAAGGACAAATGTGCCTGGCATGAAGCAATTCCGAGGAAGGCGACCAAACTCTTTTGGCTTTCGAGGTCGTCGGCCTTTCATCCCTTCTGCACCTTTTCCTCCTTCGTATGGTTATGGGTAAGTGCTGAACTACTACATTCCTTTTCACTCCATGTTGAAATGCTGATATGCAATTGGCAAGTCACAGTATCTTTCTGGGAGGATAGCTTTCTGATGAGCCGGTTTTTTTGTACAAATTTTCGTCTTTCATGTAGGTATGTATGTATGTATTGTATGTATGTATGCAATTGCCTGATGGTGTGAGATCCCACAACGGTTTGGGAGGAGAATGAAACATTCTTTATAAGGATGTGGAAACCTTTCTCTAGCAAACACAATTTAAAAACCTTGAGGGGAAGCCTGAAAGAGAAAGTACAAAGAGGACAATATCTGCTTGTGATAGGCTTGAGCCGTTACAAATGGTATTAGAGCCAGACACTCAACGATGTGCCAACGAGGAGGCTGAGCCCCGAAGGAGGGTTAACATGAGGCGGTGTGCCAGCAAGG